AGCCCGATGCGGGACTCGATCCCAGGACCCTGGGATCATGACCTGAGCCGAAGGCAGACGCTTAACCATCTGAGCCACCCAGGCGCCCTCTTCTCTGTTCTTGAAATAACAAATTGTCTTCTTGTGCCCAAGTTTCACAAGGACAGATGTCTCTGGAAATCCCAACTATGGTGTGCAATGTTGTTAGCAAGTCACAGAGAAGATTCTTTATGGCCAATAATGAACATTAAGAAAACAGTACTGGCTTCAGAGAGAATCTCAAAAAAAAAAAAAAACAAACCTAAGAAAGCCACATGGTGCTGATGAGGAAATGTGCCCAGCGTTTTAACTACTAAGCTACTAAGTGACAAAGCCAGACTTCCAATCCAGGGCAACTGGGAGCCAAGAGCCCCACTCCCTCTCCAGGCTGATGCAAGGGCAGGACCCAGTGGAACGGGGCGTACCTCCCCACCAATAGCCTTGCCCACACCCATCCTGGGCAGGATGCTGCTTCAGCTGTGCTCTTATCCCCTCCACCAAGTTCACCTCACACTCCCTTTCCACATGTGGGATCTTCCAGCCACGGTGGCCCTCCTGACATTTCTACTTGGGTATCTCAGGGGAATCTTGAACGTCCCACTGAACTCTGGATCTCCCTGCCCCAACGGTGCCTTCCACAGTCTTCGCAGTCTTAGAAAAGCAGCTCCGTTCTACCAGGCTGAGATCTTTGCAGTCCTTCTTGATTCCACCCTCCTCTTACCTGGTAGCAATGATTATGGTTTTACAACCGCGGATCGGTGACCCCTTTTTTTGCCATCCCCTGCCACTTGGACTGTAGCAAAAGGGATCCCCCTCTGCTTCCGTTCTGGAACCCTGCAGTCTAGACTGGACACAGGAGCTAGAGTGGAGTAGGCCACTTCTCTGCCTACAACTGGCTTCCTGTCTCACACAGTCAGGCCTACGGGGCACTATAAGTTCTACAACCCCTCAACTCCACCCTACTCTCTGAATTCATATCCTATTATATTTTCTCCCCCTCACCACTCTCTAACTCACCAGCACCGCCTTGGCCCTCCAGCCATTCCCCAAACACACCAAGCATTTGCCTTTGCACTACTGGGAATGCTCTTCCAACAGTTATCTGCTTGGCTCACATGCTCACTTCAGGTCTCCGCGGAAATGTCACCTTATCGGGGTGCTTTCCCTGACCCCTCTGTATCTTCCTACGTGATGCTGATGTGATTATAAGTGAGTTCTATGAAAACAAGACCTCTGCCAATTTTGTTTACTCTGTATCCCACGCAGGGAGCCATGCCTGGCACAGAGGAGATGCTCGCTATTTACTGAAGAAGTGAACATGAGAGGGGCCTGGTCTAACTATCATGCTGCTTTATCACTAGACATCTGGCTTATGTGGGGCTGCTCAATCAACACGTGCTGAACAAAGAGATATGGGGGAAAAAAGAGGCCTAGTGTAGAACTGTCCCAAGAACGTCCTGCCGCGATGGACATGTTCTGTATCTGTCCCCTGTGGCTAGGGGCAGCACAGCTCTAGTGACCTGCTTAAGGTCTCAGGACAGGAGAGTGGGGTGGAGACACTGGCTCTCCATCTGGCACCAGCGGAAGGCCTCGACTCCCAGTCAGCAGTCCCTGAACCACTCGGGGATTTGAGGAGAGCCACAGCCCTGAGGGCTCTGTGCTGTCAGGGTGCTGTGTGCCCAAAGCTGCAGTTCTTCTCAGCCCAGGACTTGGAAATGAGAGCCCCTGAGAAAGGATGAGGGCACACCTCTCACACCACAGTTGAGGCACGAACCCAGCCTTTCCCTGTACGCACTCAACTGACGCCTCTGCGTCAAAAGGTCAGCCTTTTCCACTAATCCTCACAGGACAGGGGATTATGGCTCCGAACGGCTATCATCCGAGACTTTGCCCAGTTATCAGCCTAGGCTACTGCTGTTTCAGAAAGAAGTCATTACTGTAGCAACACACACTCTTTTTAGACCGCAGGACCTATTAGATCAGAAGATGCACAAAAATTCCAAGCCCAGATTCCCTACATCTCTGAAGGTGCTTAATTAAAACCAACTGTCTAAACTGAAAGGGCTGTGTCCGCCCTGCACCACTAACCATACTCCTTCCTCTCCAGCTGACAAATCCTTCACTAGAGGCTGGCCAAGCAAGGAGACTGTAGGAAGCATTGTGCTAAGGGTAAAGAGCAAGTAGACCTCTTGGCAGGGGACCTGACTCCAAGAACGGCAGCAGAAATGTTACTATCCCCTGATTAATAATTCAGATTCAAGGGCAAACTGCTTTTCCCTGGGAGCCTGTGAGAAGAGTCCCTGCAGTAAAGCCCGGTGGCGGCCTCGGGTGACACTAAAACCACTATGCTCTCACTGCACAACAGGCTCCTGCCAGACACTGACAAACATAAAGCCATTTTTCAAATGCGTGGTGCACAGCACACTGTTCTTGATGCTTTGCTCTTGTTACTCATTTAATTCTCACGACAAACCTGAGAGACAGGTATCACTATTATTCCCAATGATCAGACGAGGAAACCAAGGCAAAGGAAGTTGGCCAAGGCCACACAGCTGCAGCAAGTTATGGAGTCACAGTTCCGACTCAAACCTCCTCCTCACCTCTCCTGCACACTTCTCTTTTTCCAAAAAGATGTCGTTTCTCTGCAGGGCCAGCACGGAGTTGGTGAGATCCACGGCTTTAGAAAGCAGAAAATAGGAATTTGGAGAACAGTATAAAACCTGACAGCTCAGATGCCTCTGGATCCCCAGGAAATCAATTCAATTGGATCAAATTAGAACACACCCCCTGAAAGTTCTTTCTGCACCACAGCTAGCTGTTTTCTCCACCTTCTCCACCTCTGGCTGGCAGTTCCCTGTGCTCACCGTCAGCCAGGGCTGTCCTGACCGCTAGTCACTCTGTCTACTCTCAGTCCCAGGTTGTCTGACAGTGAGAAGGACTTTCTCTAACACAGTGGTCACAGAGTGGCAGCCCACAGGCTCAATCTGGCCCAGAGATGTTCCTTGGACCTAAAAGTATTTTAAAATTTTGAATTAGCGTGTAACACATAAAATTGGAATGTTACACATAAAAATCAGTATTTCCAGCTTCTCTAAAGGAAAAACCAGACGACCTGGCAAAAGTTGGCTGGGACCCCATGGACAGAGCAATGACTTCCCCAGAGCACCAGCTGCTTCCACCCCTAGTGCTCAGTGTGGAGGCAGGTCAGGGCTGCAAACCCTCAGCCAGCCTCCCCTTGCTGCCACGACCTGTCTGGTCTCGCTGGTGTCTGAATTTGCAGGCCGTGATCTGATGTGGTCTAGTGTTTTGTCAAGGCCTTATCACCCAACTGTTTCTGCCAGCCATCTGGCTCCTGTCCCCTTGACTGTGCCCTAACAGTTCTCCCCTGTGTTTTCACAGACTACCCCCTCCATCTCGAATCCTCTTCCCTTGGCTTTTGAGACTTGACCTACATCTTCTCAGGAAGGTGAAAGTTATGTTATTTCCACTTTATTTCACTGTGATGGCTCCTCCGAATCCTTCCAACTCTGACGTACGGGTATTTTCCCTGCGAAGCAGAATCCTGCCCTTCACTCTGCTCCCTCCTTACTTTCTCTGGAGACCAATCCCACTGGGCCTCAGATACACTTTGTATGTATTCTCCAACATACTTCTACATATTTGCCTCCCGCATCTACATTCCATCCCGACATTAGTTCAAGTCTCCCTAATAGTCTTGGCATCACCTCAAATTCATCACATTCAAGACAGATCTAGTCCTCTTGCTCCGTTCACCAACCCTACTCCTGACTCTTGCTCTTGAGAAAGTTATTACCATTTTCCAAACAAAAACCTGAAATCATCTCCCTCCCCCTTTCCTCTGTAACCCGTTGCTAAATCTTATGAGCCCTTCCTCTGAAGTGCCTCTCAGGCAGTTCTTTTCAGTATTTGCTATCAGGATAGCTCCTTATATATAAATGCAAACCTGGGTTTAGCTTTCTGACCAGTTTTAGCCTTTTTCTCTGCCCTCCACCATTGCTAACATGCAGCTTGGAGCACACCACCACCCTGACACCCAGCTCCAACACGTTTGTGGCCCCCTATGGACTCCATGACAGTAAATACTGCTTCAGTAGACCTCGAGGCCCTCCACAATCCAGTGACAACCCACTTTTAGCTCTCTGCTCTTCTCCTTGTCCTCTACCTATAATGAGAATATCCACGCCAACATCAAGCCCTACACAGGCTGGGCCCTCTGTCTCTGGAATGCCTTCCCCTCTTTCTTAAGCCCCTTCCAGTGCCAGCCCTTGCATGCTGGCTCAGGTGGACTGTTCTCCTGCCTCGACCATTTAGTTGAATGAGAAATCCTTTGCTGCCTTGTGTTCCTATTTCATGCCTGTGCCCCCAGGCTGAGTCCCTCCCCTGGTCTGCAGGATTCTTTAGGGCAGTGCTTAGCACAGGTTTCTACATCCACTCAGTGAGCTGAGGCACTATAGAGCTCAACTCTTTCACAGACAGAAGAAAGTCACTAATCCCGGAAGCTGCAGAGGTAAAACAAACCTTCTCATCCTTTGGGGGCCGACCCCGTTTCCGGGGACTTTGCTCTTGGGCTCTTTTCAGAGGGGACTTGGAGCCTCTCTCTGAAGAGCCTGAAGACACCCTCTTCTTTCCTTCTCCCATGTTCTTCTTCACCTTCCCTTCAGACAGGCTAAGCTTCCGCTTCTCATCACCTGAGTTTGGCCTACTTCTCTCCTCACTGGAATTACGCCGATTCTTGTCATCAGCAGAATTGTGGGATGATGTCTGAAAGTTTAATAATAACAATGATAGCCACCACAGCAGCCACTGCCGCCGCCACCGCCACTTACACAAGCCACACCCTAGGAGAAGCGCTTTACATGTGCTATCCACACAACAACCCTATGCAATAGGTTCTGCTATTGCTTCCACTGATACTTGGAGAAGCAGGTAAAGTCAAATCACTTGCCTGTACCCAAAGCTAAGAAGTGGGATTTACACCCAGGCAGTGGATATACCCAAAAACACTCCTAATCTCTAGGATGTCAAGGGAGAAATGCCTGTGTTGTACTCAAAAGCTGAGATACTTCTCCTGAGTCCAAGTGACTTTCCTAGGAAGAGCAATCTATTTCAGAAAAGTCTGCCGCATGCATGGAGTTTCAAGCTGATAAGCCAAATGCGGATACCCTAGAACTGAAGTAGTGTTCTCGCCATTGGCATGGCATAAGAATAGAGTTTGGGTTTGGGCCATATTTAATCTGTTAGTTACTACGCCAAAAGAACCAGTCAGATGCTGGAATAAAGCAAGAATCAGTCTCTCACCTGGTCTTTCCCTTTGGCTCTCCGGAGGAACTCTTCAACAGCATCCACAGCCTGCTGGAATCGTTTCCCCTTGTTGATCTTGATCATTTCCTCCTTGTGCGCATGGTATGGCTTTAGCTGTTCCACTTTGATCCAGGCACTAGCAGAAAACACATACAGAAAGGGTATGATCCACACTGCCCATGCCATAAATTATCAATTACCTCATCACAACAGAATGCAAATATCTGTTTGGTTTAACTGGACTTTGAACCAGGCCTGCCATTTTTTCAAAACATGTTACCACCCACCCCAAACTCTTGGAGTATTATAAAAGTATGTCTTCCTGAAACAAGTCAAGCACAACCACCACCACCAAAACCAGAATATCCTCCACAAGTTGCAGGCTATTTATGTCCATTCTCGTTCACCAGCCTTCCACACTAAACCACACATCGCCTGCCACTTGTGCAGGGCAGGGGTAGCCTGGCGATGTTCTTCCATTCTCATCACAGGGGCCCCTCATGGACCGAGGGCATCAGGAAGCATAATCGACCACAGCAACATCACTGCCCAGTCAACACCCAAACCAGAATGACAATCTGTCATCAACTGAGAATCAGGGATGCACCCATGCTCAAGAAATGCAGCATGTGAAATCTGCTCCTCTTTGCGATATTTGTTGATAAATGATCCTGTCTGTGGCTACTAAACCACACAAAACAAGTGACACATGATTTGGAATTAGGCCAGCAGTTGTAATAGGAGGTCTTTAGAAACAAGATTCTGCTTGTGATTAAAGGTACAACATACCCTTATGATGTTTATTTTTTAATTCCTACCATCAATGTGTAACACATGCAAGTAAAAAAGCCATCACTTGTCAATTCTGGAATATCTGGCCTACCAGACTGACTTGAACAAATCTGCCCCAGCTGGCTTCCTGTGGTTTTTCTAAATGACATTCAGCGTCCCAGTACAAAGGAGAGGATTTTATAGGCTTGGCGAGGTAACAGCTAATTTATATACATTTTTACTATGTAATACTCACAAGTCTCATAGCATAACCTTCTGAAAAAAGGGGTCAGGTTAAGGATAGAGAAACTGAGCTATCCCACTAACTTAGGGTCCTCTCCTTTAGAGATAACTGGAGAATATTCACTAATAATAGTAAAAATGTGGGGCGCCTGGGTGACTTAGTTAAGCGTCCAACTCTTGATCTCAACTCAGGTCTTGATTTCAAGATGGTGAGTTTAAGCCCTACACTGGGCTCCACATTGGGCATGGAGCCCATTTAAAAAAAAAAAAGTGCTAATCTCTACATAAAAATAGTTTAGCCAACCCACCTACAGCCACCTATGATTTAAGTGTTATGCTAATAATCGTGACCATGGATCTGTACAAACACAATAGCCGTAGGACTATCAGCCTACAAATGTGATAGCAAACCAGGACTAAGCATGTTATCTATGGCTAAACAAAGCCACAGAGAACGGAACGATGAACAAAGACTCAGATGCTGTCTCATTGCATAAAGTTCCAACCAGGTGAGGTAAGCAGGTACCTTCTAGTGACCAACTCATCTTAAAGTCTGAGACTTGCTATGATAGAATGAATTGGTCTATTCTATGGGGAAGAAAAACGGAATTATATTTTGACCTTACATTGCCTGGCAGGTACACCACTGAATGGACCCTCCTGCTTCTCCTCCCATTTAGTGTTTCTAAGGACAGACCACCAGAGCAGATGCAAAGCCACACATGCCCTGAAAAGCAGGTTAAGCTGTCCTAGGAGATGACGCAAATACCAGCGATAAGGCTTAAAGGGCCACGTGCTCTGGACATGCCTCTTCCTTCTCTGAGCTTCAGGTTAGAAGCTGAGACCCACACAAGTTTTGGTGTAAGATCAATGGTGTGGTTTTATGGAGCTTCCTGAGATGGGACAATACACTCTAGGCATACTAATCCCTGCCTTCCTCTCCCCACATGAACTAGAGGAAGTGGAGAGGTAAGGACATGCGTGGAGGACGCACCAATAATCCATGCCCATTTTTCCATTGAAGCATTTTAAGTGGATTACTGATTTCTGCCAGAAGAATGGTACAGTCAAAATTCCATTCTGGCATTTGCATCCTAAAATGAAATTTTCCTCTCTGACCATTTTTGAAAAGTGAAAATGGTTTGCTAAAAGAATGGACAGTATAAATATCAAGAGGATAAATCCAAGAAATATTAATCTAGTTAAGAAATCAGCCTATTGTTGAAGCACTGTAAAATTGTAAATAAAAAGCCAGCCCAGGGCGCCTGGGTGGCTCAGTTGGTTAAGCGGCTGCCTTCGGCTCAGGTCATGATCCTGGAGTCCCGGGATCAAGTCCCGCATCGGGCTCCCTGCTC